GAAATAGCGACGCCGGCTCCAGCCGCCCCTCAGGCTGCGTCCAGGCCGCACGCGGAACTTCGAAAGGGCGTCCAGGCCGCACGCGGAACTTCGAAAGGGCGTCCGGGCCGCACGCGGAACTTCGAAAGGGCGTCCAGGCCGCCCGCGGATCTTCCGAAAGAGCAAGCCGCTTTTTCGACAGAAAGCACCCAGCGAGTCTGGATGCTCTTTCGAGGAAGCCCTATTTACATTCAAGAACGCCTTCTTTCAAAAGAGGCACTTTCGAAAGAAGGCGTTCTTCCTCGTAGAATTAGGTTTACCGCCGTCGAAAGAAAAGCCGCGTTCTTTCGATTTAATTTCGAAAGAACGCGGCTTGAGTCTGGACGCAGGTGAAGTTTTTTCGAAAAAACCCCTGAGTCTGGACACAGCCTTATTGGGAACTGTTTCTCGAAATAAACCACCGGCGATGGCTTGAAAGGGGTGTATTTCGAAACTGGTGCTGTGTAGAGGCGCCATATTTCAAAATAAGCTATTTCTAAATAGATCCAAGATAAGATACACAATTTGCATGGCACAAAGTATGTATCTTATTTCAAGTTTAGAGTGCTGTGTAGACACACCCTCATAACAACTGCCTGCAGAGAGAGCTGGGTGGGGGGAAATCAGCAATATATAGCCCTAAGAACAAGGTTGGTTCCCCTTCGCTTTTCCTAAATGCCACACACTCCTTCCCCACCTTTCAGAGGGGTAGCCGTGTTAGTCTGAATCTGCAAAAGCGACGAGGAGTCCTGTGGCACCTTATAGACTAACTGAAGTGTAGGAGCATAAGCTTTCGTGGGCAAACACCCACTTCGTCAGATGCATGTAGTGGAAATTTCCAGAGGCAGGAATAAATATGCAGGCCAGGATCAGGCTGGAGATGACCAGGTGGATCCAATCAAGGAGGATGAGGCCCACTTCCCTTGTGCAACATACTTTCAAGGTGATCACTCACCCAATACATGCCAGGTTCCCAATATATCCACACTGTTTACACTACAAATGTGGATCCCACTCCCAAAATGTATTCAAGTTTTATGGTACTGCCATGCTAAATCTGCTCCCCTGGCTCTCCCGAGGAAGCCTGCTGTCAAGAGACCAACACTGATTTTTAATTAGTACATCACTTAATGATTCCCTGTGGTTTCCAGCTGATGCCATCCAAGAGCTTGCTCATATTCTGGCATTTGGCTGTTGGGTTGACAATTGCATAAACTGTGGGATTCTAGCAAAAGAATTTTACTTATTTGCTTGGTTTAGGAATCTAGGAATGTGGTGCTGCTCTGAAGGGCTGTATTTTCATACTTGGGATGTTATTGCAAAGATAAAAATTCTGTTAGGCAATTTTAAGGGCAATTTCTATTTGGTAAAAACCTTATTTACTGAAAGAAATGCTGTAGTAGTATGGTTACTGGGACTACAAAACTTCTTTCCTCGTGCATGAAGCAAGAAGTTAAAATTAGAACTTTGCACATTTTGTTCCAATGTTGGTACTGGTTTAATTTCTCTTATGTGAAGGTGAGTTGTTTAAGGCTATTTTGGATTAATTAGTTTTTTAATTAGAAGTGGATTTTTAAATTGAGATTTGCTGGATTGGAATGGTTGATATTTAGTATCAATTCTGATGTATTTCTGTACATTTTTTTACAGTTTTTGCCTGTATTCAAATTGCTTTAAGGCTTTTTACATGGTTTTAATGGTGCAGTTTACTTATGTTATTTTGTCATCCTTCTGTAGACCTTTTTTGATAAAATGTTGAAATAATTGATTTATGGCATTTGTTTTTAGTTAAAAATAATTGTTCTGGATGTTTGGATTTCTAATAAATCATTGTTTGCAGCTTCACATGTTGTTTACATTTCGATTTTTGGTGGGATAGTTAAGAGGACTGTGGACTTAATGCTAAAATCTGGGCAGATTTAGATTATTTAGAAGGACAGAGTAAAACCTGTTTATTATTTCATTTTAACCCCTGGTCTGCTGATAGACAGATGAGCCTGGCCTTTACCTGAGAAGGAACTGAGTCATGGCCTTTTCAAGTGGGCTGCATCTAGACTGTCATGATTTTCCGCAAATGCTTTTAATGGAAAAGTTTTTCCGTTAAAAGCATTTGTGGAAAAGAGTGTCTAGATTGGCACGGACGCTTTTGCGGAAAAGCGTCCGTGCCAATCTAGATGCGGTTTTGCGCAAGAAAGCCCCGATCGCCATTTTTGCCATCGGGGCTTTTTTGCACAAAACGGTTCTCAGCTGTCTACACTGGCCCTCTTGCACAAAAGTATTTGCGCAAGAGGGCTTTTTCCCCGAATGGGAGAGTCATTGTATTTGCGGAAGAACACTGATAATCTTACACTAGATCGTCAGTGTTGTTGCGCAAATTTAAAGTGGCCAGTGTAGACAGCTGGCAAGTTTTTCCGCAAAAGCAGATGATTTTGCAGAAAAACTTGCCAGTCTAGACAAAGCCATGGGGTGTTTGGGGGGGGTGTGTTGAGCTGGGTTGGGGGTGGAGCGTCCCTCTTCCAGGTGGCAGGTTCCTTGAGCACATGCACAGTTTAACTATGCAGCACTAACTCTGCAGCTGCATGGCTGTGCAGCTTACAGGGAACTTGGAACGGAGCAGAAAGAAGGCCTTAAGCCCATTTAAAATCAGGCAATTTATCCAAAATCCTTTTCTTCATCCGTTGGTCCCTGGAGAATCCACTTTGAACTAGTCCATACGAATATCTCTAGGGGGTGGCTTCAAAGGCCAGATAGCCAGAGGCATTGAGTTAGCATACTCACTCCTCTTAGAGAAAGTGACATGTGATCTCACCATATATACTGAAGCACAAACATATTAAACTTAGTTCAGTAAGATGTAAATCCATTCACTAAGGTTTGCCCAGAATATGGTAGCATCTATAACAGTAAACTCTAATGGAGAAGCAGCAGGAGGACAGAGCAAAAGTGATCATCAAGAGTTTTAATCATGGTGTGATGGGATTCCCCTGGGGTGCAGCATGGGATTCTGGGACTGCTGTATCCTCTTAACTCTCCCCAGCCTGGGATCTGTCGCACAATGCT